CTGACCAAAGAGAAACTTAGAAAATACACACCTGCTTTTACAATTCTATTTTCAGATTATATGTGGATCATAGTGTTATCACAATTCATTACATTATTATACACTGAGGGCTTAATCTTGTTCTTTGGTAAACGAGGCAAAAGCAGAGGGAAGATGACAAAAGAAATTTCTTACCCCTGAACAAAAAGCAAGCCCTGAACATGCAACCCCAAATAACTGGGATTTGTTCGGTATGTCAGTGTCCAGCTTTCCAATTCTGCTCGTGTGTGCATTGTACTCGCAAAATAGGTGCAATTTTTGACAGAGGACTGTGAAATTATAGTCTATTTAAACTAAAGTACCTTTTGTTCTATCAGATCCTACCATACAAGGACACTCAACTGCATCAAATACAGGTTGAACCTCTCTAGTCCGGCATCTTCTGGACCTGACTGTTGCCGAACCAGAGAATTTGCCAAACCATGAGATGTCAATATTGTGTAGCAGCATTACCGACACTCCACTGCTTACTAGGCTCTAGAAGACATTTAGGGGTAAATTAGAGCTAAACAGCAGCACAGAACACTGAGAGCCAAGTCTGGTGGCTATAAACAAATTTTAAGTGACTGCAGGAAACTTGGCCACGTCCATGAAAAGTGGACATGTGGCTAACTAAAATCATGCCAAACCATGGATGTTGCCAGACCAGAGAGTACTAGACTAAAGAGTTTCAAATTATATAATTAATTAACATAAGTCAATTATCTATTCAAACTATCAAGACAATCTATTTTGCATGACCAGTTTTTTAATCTTTAACCTTTCCTCCTAGATCAGGTTTTTTAACCTTTTATCATGTTTGTTGATCTCTTCTGGAATTGTTCTTCCATGTGTAGTTCCATGGCCCGTGTGGAGGATGGGGAAGATGTTGCTTTCTTCACCTCCCCACCTGCCAACTGAAGCTGATTCTGCAGTCTTGCTGCTGCGTGCCGACGGCAAGGCTGCAGTTGTGGCCTGGGCTCCCCACTGCATGGAGGAGAAGGGGGAGTGAGCTCCTGCCGTGGACTACCTGGGAGGGAGCCA